GATGTGCAAAAACTCTGGTTGTTCGGCCTTGGGTGTCCTGACAGACCTTTTTTTTTTTTTTTTTGAAAATGAACAAAGTGAGCCTATGAGCCTGTCTGATTCAAAGAAAATAGCTGACAGCATTTGTCACCAATGATAAAATTCAAGCTTTCATGCAAAAATCAGAATTCTGAAATTCTGTATCCACCACCATGAGCTCATCACCTTTCCAGCTTAAAGACTTTTCTAAGATTGGTGATATCACCAAAAGTGATTTTAAAACACTGATTGAGGAACTGTGTCAGCATTTGGAATCTCCACATAACTTAGTGAACCACAGGCCCAGTGTGTGAGGTCACAGAAGCATGATGGACAGAGTCCATGAAGCACAAGACAGACCAACAGATTCTCCTGAAATGAAGTGGAAGTTCACCGATAGGGTTTCAGATTCCACACACAACCAGCCAGTAAAAAACCACCACCTGTGGGCCGGGCGCGGTGGCTCACGCCTGTAATCCCAGCACTTTGGGAGGCCAAGGCAGGCGGATCACAAGGTCAGGAGATAGAGACCATCCTGGCTAACACGGTGAAATCCCGTCTCTAATAAAAATGCAAAAAATTAGCCAGGCGCGGTGGTGGACGCCTGTAGTCCCAGTTACTCGGGAGGCTGAGGAGGGAGAATGGCGTGAACCCGGGAGGCGGAGCTTGCAGTGAGCCGAGATCACGCCACTGCATTCCAGCCTGGGCCACAGAGCAAGACTCCGTCTCAAAAAAAATAAAATAAAATAAAAACCACCTGTCCAGGCCGGGCGCGGTGGCTCAAGCCTGTAATCCCAGCACTTTGGGAGGCCGAGACGGGCGGATCACGAGGTCAGGAGATCGAGACCATCCTGGCTAACACGGTGAAACCCCGTCTCTACTAAAAAATACAAAAAACTAGCCGGGCGAGGTGGCGGGCGCCTGTAGTCCCAGCTACTCGGGAGGCTGAGGCAGGAGAATGGCGTAAACCCGGGAGGCGGAGCTTGCAGTGAGCCGAGATCGCGCCACTGCACTCCAGCCTGGGTGACAGAGCCAGACTCCGTCTCAAAAAAAAAAAAAAAACCACCTGTCCAGTGTTGGAAGAGGATCAAGGAAGAATATCCCAATTATTTGCAAAGGTTATTAAAATGCTCCTTTTCTTTTCAAATACACATCTGGGTAAGGCTTAGATTCTCCATTCACCCCTATACTTCACAACCAAAACACCACCACAGTGGGCAGACTGGAGCCTGAAGAGAGGCCAGTGGGCTTCTCTTAAGCCAGCGATTTACAACAATGTAAAACTACGCCACACTTCTCCCAAAAACTTTTTGTTTTGGAAAATACGTTTTTCATACAATTGTTATTTATGTTAATATGTTGTGGGTTTATTGCTATTTTGAAATGAATACATGTTTTCCAAAGGTCTCAGGTTTAATTTCTAATAAGGTATTCTAATGTATATTAATATTGGTCATTAGAACTCACATAAGCAAAAGTTCTTTGGTACTTTTAATATTTTTTTTTTTTTTTTTTGAGATGGAGTCTCGCTCTGTCGCCCAGGCTGGAGTGCAGTGGTGTGATCTCGGCTCACTGCAAGCTCCGCCTCCCGGGTTCACGCCATTCTCCTGCCTCAGCCTCCCAAGTAGCTGGGATTGCAGGCGCCGCCACCACACCCGGCTAAGTTTTGTATTTTTAGTAGAGACGGGGTTTCACCATGTTAGCCAGCACGGTCCCCATCTCCTGACCTCGTGATCCACCTGTCTCGGCCTCCCAAAGTGCTGGGATTACAGGTGTGAGCCACCGTGCCTGGCCCACTTTTAATGATTTTGAAGAGTGTTGAGGGGTCCTCAGTTTGAGGACAGCTGCTGCCAGGTGACCTGTCTAGGAGTGGCACTGCCCAGGGGAGGAAACGTGTTCCTCCAGCTTTAGGAGGGGACACAAATTGTCCCTGGAAGTGGCTATACCACGTCCCACCAGCATCGCAGGAGTCTCCATTTCCCGACGTTCGTCCTGGCCTCCAGCAGCCACATGATCTCAGTCTGCGGCTCCAACTCCGCGACTCTGAGGGAGGCCGATCAGTCTTCTCACGCTGACTGGCCCTGGACTTTTGGCCCTGTTCTTTCTTCATATGAATGTAAACATCATCGTGTCCACTTCAAAACCAAAAAGCGGCATTATTGAGAGTACGGTTGGAATGACAGTAATACAATGATGACATTGACTTTGGAGCTTTCGGGAGTGTGCTAGGTTTCTCCAGCTCAATAAGACTGCATAGCTCTCTTCAGTACGGGTCCTGTTCCTTCTGGGTTAAATTCACTCCAACTCTGAATGGGACATTTCTTCATTGTCATTTTCAACAAGTTTCAGCTGGTTTAAAGAGCGCCCAGTCTTTTGTACATTTGGCTTTCTGGGTATACAAAAATGAGATCTGAAAACAAAGGTACCTCTACTTTCTTCATCTCTCATCCTGCTTCTTTTGTTTACGTATCTTAATGCATCCGCTAAAAACGTGAAAACAACATGAAATACTACAGGCGAAAAGCAGGCACACCTGCGTGGCTCTTGGTTTTGGTTTTCAGTGTTAACCCACTGCTTTGCTGGATCTTATCAAATATTTTAGCGATGGCTAACATCATCATTTTTTTCCTCCTTAATGAACCAACAACTAAGGAAGAAATCAGAAGGTTGTTAAGGACACGCTGCTAATGAACGGCACCAACCCCAGGAGATTCCACAGCTGAGTTCTGCCGACCTGAGATGCTGCAGCCTGGAGGAGCACGGGCAGCGCCTGCCCCTTCTCTAAGGTGGTGGAAAGGGGCATGAATCACCGACTCTGATTAGAGAGGGCGAGAAGAAAACAGACCAAAACCACTTCTAACCCAAGCACAGCAGCGCCTCGCGGTGTGCCGTCCCGGATGCCTGGCAGCTACTGCAGTCCCAGTGCGTCATGGCTGACTCTAGAGCGGTTTCAAGGCGAAGAAGTCGCTACATTATTTAGAACCTCCATCTGCTACGTCTCGCGGGAGTGTCCAGCCTAACCTTCCTGCCAGGGCCACGGGCACCCTTCCCTCTTGAGGGCTTGGGGCTGGCTCCCTGTTAAGAGGCTCGGGAACCCCGCACTGGCCCCGTGGAAGCTGCTAGCCAGCCTCAGTGGTCAGCAGCCGGAGGCAGGTGCCTGTGTCATGGCTGGGTTCCCAGCATCTAGGGTGGCACAGGTGCCCAGTGGGAGCCCAGTGTGTTTGTTAAGCAAATGATTTCTTGGGCAGTGTCTTGACGGTGAGGTGGGTGGGTCCCTGAGCTGGAAACTGGCCAGAGCAAAAGCTCCCAAAACCCAGGCCCGCATCACTAGATGTGCCCGCATCCTCTGTCCTCCTGGGGCCACCCTTCCTTCTGCTTCTTGGCAGGCGCTGTGGCAGCCACACTGGCTTGTAAAGGCCAGCTCTGTGCATCTCTTCCCAACCACAGGGTCAGCGGCGTCATCTGGCATCTGGAAACTGGCACCACAGTGCTGGCTGCTGTTCCCTCCTCCCACCACTGCTGCCGCTCATTAAACCCTCACGACACTCTGCCTCTCATCCCACAGCAACGTGGGCCAAGTCCTCGTCACACAGGCTCTGGGGAGATCGCTGAGGAGGGTGGGAGCTCCAGGACCCTCAGAGCAAAGTGAATCCTTCTTGCCCAGCTCCCCTCTGGGCGCCACAGAGCACGCCGGCCTCTCCTTCACACAAGCAGGCCTAGGGCATCATCCTCCACACCACCATGGTCCACAGGCTGCTCCCACGCCCAGGGGAGCCCAAGCTACTCCCGTGCCTGGCTGACCTCCAGACCCCCTAGAGGGTTGGATGAGCTGCTGCTGCCTGTCACAGGATGACCACAGCACTGCCTGGCAGGATGCCTGCCTCCACGCCTGCCTCCACGCCTGCCTCCGCACCTGCCTCCACGCCTGCCTCCGCACCTGCCTCCGCACCTGTCTCCGCACCTGTCTCCGCAGGTGTCTCCATGGCCTGCTCACCTGGCAGCCGGAGGGAGATTTTCTGAACCCTGAGTCAAACCATGCTGTCCACCTGCCGACCCACCTGCCAAGAACCTTCTATTTGGGTGGCCACTTGCCTAAGTCCAGGAGGTGACTCAAACACACCTGGCCCCAGCCTCCTTGGCAGCCAGGGCAAGAAACGCCCAAGTCCTGGCCAAGGAGGCTTATAGAGAATTCAACTTTTGGAAAGCTGGAGCTTCTGGAAAGAGTTTGCAACTGGTGGAAGGTCCAGCAGTGAGCTGAGCTTGCAGCTGTGGCTGCTCCACCGCCCCCCTGTCCCCCGCGGATGTCAGACCCAGAGCTGCACTGGCCGAAACACTCTCACTAAGCTTGAAAACCATGAACACTCCTCCCCACGGGCTGCACCGGCCTCCGTGGCCTGGCTGCTGGCGACCAGCCTCCTGGCTGCTCCTGGGGCTTGCTCCAGTGTCCTCTGCCTCTGGGCCTTCACACCGGCGATTCCTTGTGTGGCCACTGTTCCCAGCTCCATGTAAGTCTGGTTCCGTGTCCTCACGCCAACCCCTCCCTTCCAGCACTTATCACAACCTGCAAGCATTTCTCTACTGACCCATTGGTCTTCCCCGCATGGGAGCATAAGCTCCAAGAGGCAGGGCCTTTGTGTCGTCTACCATGACATCTCCAGAACCCAGAACATCTAACAGGGCCGTGCGTGCGAGCAGGTGTTACGACTTTTATTCGTGTCATTGCTAAGGAGGCAGTGGAAACACCTGATGCTCCCAACAGAGCTGAATAAAAACCTCCCGGAAGGCTCCCTGGGGTTCTCATCAGGCGTGGGAGGCCATTTAAGGACAGACGCAGAGGTCCTGGTGAGGGAGGACACAGGTTCCCTTCAGGGCAGAGCTTTCCCCCCAGCTCCAGCCTGCCCCGACCCATTTGCACCTGCTTTCATTTTTGGGATCCATCAATCAGGGCATCCTCACCAAGTCAGCAACAGCAAACCGTGCGGTCCAGGCAAGAATGAAAAAGTATACATTTAATATCAAAGCCATGTCAAGATTATTGATAGTAACGACACTGGAGAGTGGCTCTAGGATGTTCTTACTCAGAGTGACCCCCGGAGGCCCTGGCCTGTGTCTGAGGAAGGGCATTCATGCTGGAGACTGGAGCCTCACCGTCCCCAGGGCCTGGGGGTTCCTCAAAACACCCCTCAGAAGGGACATCCCGCCAGAGGCCAGGTGGAAGGCGGTCTCCTCTCATGGGGCGGCCCCCTTGCCCGCCTGGCCTGAGTGGCTTGCCCTGGGTGGCCCGGCCCCACCGCAGCCACCTGCTGGCCTAGACGCTGGACTTGGTGATGATCCTCTCCAGCAGACTCATCATGCGTTCCTGCAGCTGCAGGCTCTGCACCTGAAGGATGTGCTGCTGGTCCAGCACGCGGCGCACCTCGCGGCAGGTCTCCTCCACGGCGCGGCTCAGCCGGCGCTGCTCCTCCACCATGGCCTCCAGCAGCCGCAGCTGCTTCTTCTGCAGGTGGCAGCTCTGCACCTTGCGCTTCTTCACCGGTCGCTCCTCCGACCTGGAAGGATAGCGCCAGCTGTGGACGTGCTGGCCACAGAGCCTGGGCACACCGGGGGCCTCACCGGACCCTCCCAATTATCCTACTAGGCAAATGGGGAAACTGAGGCCCCAGGGAGTCAGGTCACTTACTCAGGGTCTCATATTCCATGTGCAAAGGAGGGGCCAAAACCCGCCCCCTTTGACAGTAAGAAAGTAACAGGTGTGGCCAGGCACGGCAGCTCACACCTGGAATCCCAGCACTTTGGGAGTCTGAGGCAGGTGGATCACCTGAGGTCAGGAGTTCAAGACCAGCCTGGCCAACATGGTGAAACCCCATCTCTGCTAAAAATACAAAAATTAGCCAGGTATTGTGGCAGGCGCCTGTAATCCCAGCTACTCGGGAGGCTGAGGCAGGAGAATCGCTTGAACCTGGGAGGCAAAGGTTGCAGTGAGCCAAGATCATGCCACCGCACTCTGCACAAGAGCGAGACTCCGTCTCAAAAAAAAAAAAAAAAAAAAGAAAAAGAAAAAAAATGAAGAGAAAGAAAGAGAGGCCACAGGCATTGCCATCCTTTGCAACTAGCAGACGACCCCAAGGACCAGGGTCCCAGGACAATCCACACCACTTCGGGCTGGAAAGGGTGGGATGATCTGGGCTGCAGAGGGGCACATCCTGCCAGGGAGCATCCCTCACCCACCGAGCTGGGTAGGTGGGGGCTCAGCCCCAGTTGATGCCCAGGGGTGGAGAGGCCACACCCAGGGAGAGAAGAAGGCAGGGGTGAGGGGTGCTGGGTAGTGCAGAGTACTCAGGACACCTGTAGGGAAGCCAGAGACCACCAGCCCCACCCGGCCTTAGGCAGATGGGGAAACTGAGGTCCCAGAAGGAAGGGCATGAGATGTGAGCCCCTTTAATCTCCCGGCGGCCTAGAAATGGGGCCAGCACACCTTGGTAGAGAGGCAGGAGGACAGGCACCTAGAGGGTGTGGGGCCCACAAGAGGCCTGGGCTCTCTCACCAGGCCCTTGGAGCTCTGGTAGAGGTGGCAGGTAAAGGCAGTCCAGCCCTGTGGGCACCTCCTGAGCGCTCTGCTGCTGGGGTAGGGGCCACCCGTGGTCTCAGCAGACCTCCCTGAAGGGCAGGGAGCTGCCAAAACCCACAAACTCCAAGGCCCTGCTCCAGTGCCTGCTCACCCCTGGCCCACGCTCCACTCTGAGCTGGGAGGGTGCAGCCAACCCCAGGGGCAGGAGCGCAGTGCTTTGGTCCTGATCAGGGAGGGCAGTCCCCACGCCCCAGCCCTGTGCAAGGCCCCAGGCAGCTGAGTCCGGGAACTGGGCTCAGTCCACAGGAACAGCAGCCATAAATCTCAGGCCTCCTGCTGGTTCCTTCTAGCTGCCAGCAAAAGCGTTTTTGTCTCGGGTCTTCAATGAGAAATCCTGAGTCAAGCAGCAGCCCCCAGCATGGGAGGTGCCAGCTTGGGGGGACCCTCCTCGGAGACGCCTTCCTCACCCCACCTCCTGTCAGAAAGACTTGAAGACCAGGGCAGGGGAGAAGCTGTGACTCAAATCCACAATCTTCCTGTTCTTGCCTCCAAATGGCCAACTTCTATTTTACCTTGAAAGCCCATCCCAAATGTCCCCTCCTCCAAAGCACCTTCTCTGGGCTCCCCGGGCCCACCCCGCAGGTGTCTGTCCTGCATGCTGCCTGGCTCCCGGCTGCCCTGTGAGCATCTCGCAGGCACAGTCACGCGGCCGGCACAGGCGTGGTCTGAAGTGTGGGATGGACGGCAGAGGGGATGGGCCATCCCCACGGCAACACGTGATGAGGTGCAGCCTGACACCCTCCCCAGCGCTGAGGGGCCACCAGCCTGTGAGGGTGGGGTCCGTGTGGGGTGAGGGAGGCCAGGGGGCGCATTCTTGGGTCTGGGGCTTGGTCTCCCTCCGTGTGCCGGGCCTCGTGCTGTGTCTTCCCTCCCACAATGCTCCCAGCCACCCTCTGAGAAAGGTACTGATTTATCACCATTTTATAGGAGGGAGACTGAGGCCAGAGAAGTCAAGGAACTTTCCATGCAGCTCAAAAGTGATGGAGCTGGGAGACGAACTCGGTCTGCCTGTGGACACTAAAGTCCGCCCTGGTCTGAGGCCACCTGTCCCTGGAGGCGCTGCCCACAGCCACGGCCTCTGCAACCACTGTGACCGCCGCCGCCCTCACCGCTCCCAGTCCCTTTCTCTAAATGGTGGGGGCTGAGACACTCCAGGGCAGGGGAAGGACAAGCAGACACACTACCTGAACTTAAGGGACAGTAAGCTGGAGGAGCTGTCGGAGCGATCGTCCTCGAAGCGGCCTTCGTAGGAGCACTGGTTATACGGGAAGTACAGAGGGGTGGACTTAGCGGGCGGCGACAGGGACGCCTCGGTCTGGGATGTGGAGGGCCCCGGCGGCTGGCTGTCCGGCAGTTTGCCATCACAGGACTCGGGGACCTTGGCCAGAATCCCATCAATGGCTAGGTAATAGGGCCAGTCGGGCGGGGCGGACTCGCTATCTGTCATGCATTTTAATTTCCTGAAACGAGAGACACAAGAGCCAAGGGTGAGAAACAGAGCTGGCCCAGCCCGTCCTGCCCAGCCTCAGCAGAGGGGCGCACCGCGCCGGCACAGGCCGGAGCCGCTCTCAGCCAGCAAGGGCCTCCCCAGCAAAATTGGCCAGGCTCCAGGGTCAAGATGACATTGGACTTAGAAAGAAGCCAGGCTTCAGGACCTAAACGGGCTCAGATGTTAAAAAGGAAGCACGCGTCCCAGTATTACTAAGGTTACCTGTGCATGCTGGGACCTTGGGGCTGGTCCTATTGCTTTTCCCTCACTTTTCTGTAGTTTCTAGACTCTCTGCAATGAGCAAATACTGCTTTTTAAATAAGTCATTTTGAAAGGTAGAGTAATAAGGTATTATTGTAATAATAAGGTATTATAAGATATATAAATATAGTGATAATATTTTGTGATAGAGTAACTGTGCTGTTTGGGAGAGAATGCCTCAGGGAGCGACAGCCACTGGCGTTAGAGCACAGGCTTCAGTGTCCACAGCCCTGAGTCAGTATCTCATCTCCACACTTTGCTGTGTGACCTTGGGCAGGTTCATTCACCTCTCTGAGCCTCTATTTTTAGATCAATGACATGGGGATGATTGAAGTAAGCCCCTCCCCCAGATGCAGGGCAGATTTAATAAAGCAAACAGCAGGCTGGGCTCCCGTGCCATTCTTGGTTGAACCTACAGTCTGGGCAGGAGCCTAGATCCAGCACTACAACCTGCGACCTGCCCAGAAGCCCTGGGGTGGGCCGGATGGGCCCCTTCCCACACTGCCTGATGCCTCATTACCACTGGGACCCCCTGCGCCCACCTACTCCCACAGACAGGTCCTGCCCTCTGAGAGGCTAAGTCCCCAGGCCTCCCCTGGGCCTCTGGGAGGTCAAGGCAGGGGAGACAGGGCCCCAGGGCGGCCAGACAGCTCTGGCCAGGCCAGGAAAGAAGCCACAAGGTTGGGGGGAGGCAGGGGTCTCTGCCACATCAGACCCAGTACCTCCTAAGGCCCAGAGCCCACCCCCTACTCTGCCTTTGGACAGAGTGCCCTGAGGCCGGGCTCCAAACCCACCCTGTGCTCGGAGTGGGCATCTCCTCTCTCCTACTCTTGTTACCTGCCAGGATGTAGCTACTGGTCCCTGGAAACAATAAGCTGGCTTCTGAATGAGGTGCCCCCAGCAAACAGACACAGCCAGATGGTGAGCAGGGGCTGCTGCCCAAGGTGGCACGTGGCTGCGAAGACACCAGCACAGAGCATGTGGGGCCGGGCACTGGGTGCCCATCCCTAACCTCTGCCCCAGGCTTCTCTCTCTGCCCTACTTGAGCCAGCCCACTCTTTGGAGAAATAAGAAAAGGCCTATTCTCAGCGTAGGAGGCCCCCAACTGTACTCCAACAAACTACTCTCCACAGAACCAGCCACCCTCTCAGGCTTCTTCAGCCCAACAGCCTTAATATGTAAAGAGCTCTTGTAAAACAAACAAACAAATGACAAAAGCCTCTGCTATGGGGAGGCTGGGGGTATAAAGAAAAAGGACAAAGATCTAGTCACCCAGCCACAGCTCCCTCTGCTAAGGATTGTGTGGCCTTGGGCAAGTCCTCTCATGCTCTGGGCCTCAGCTTCCCCCTCGGTGAACGAAGGCTGACTGTGGCAGCTCTGAGGGGCTGCCGTGCGCTTCATCAACCGTGATGTGCTGTGCACCGGCGCAGCCCTTGGCCCGCCAGACTGCAGGGTCTGGAGTGGAGGCCCCCACTCTGCTGCACCCTCATCTCCCGGCCTCCAGGAATGGAGACAGAAGCCCTCCCCTGGGACGCTGAAGAGGCTTTCAGCATAAATAATGAATAACCTGGCCAGACACCAACCAGAGCCAGCCGGGGAGGCGGTGCCCGTGAATTCCTGAGTCAGAGGGGAGCCACCTCCCACCGCCCTCTGTGTCCCTTCCTCACCAGGTCCCTGAGCAGGGCTAGGAGGCCACAGGAACGGTGGGGCCACGCGAACAGTGGGACCGTGGGCAGCTGCCTGCGTCCACTGAGCCTCTGAAGACACCCAGGCTCACACCTCAGCCCTCACGTCGCAAGCCAGCCGCTCAAACCCAACATCCGTCACGCTCAGCACCCTAGGTCCCGGCTTTGGGGACTGGCTAGAGGCCTTTGGGCAGGGCCAGGCCCCGGACCCCTCCTTCGAGGCTCAGAAAAAATCAAATCAACACAACTGAAAGCGGAGACCCCACAGCCTGGCGGTCTGTCCGGGGCCTTGCTGGACCTCTTCCCTGCTCCCACCAGGACGGGGGACTGGGGCTCCCCTTCTGCTGTGCTGGAGGCTGGCTCCTCGCCTGTGGAGGGCAGTGGGGGTTGCCTCTCCCACAAGTGGCTCAGGTGCTGCCAGCCTCTCTGCCCTGGGCTCACCTGCCTGACCCGGAGGTGGAGCAGCCCCTCCCATCCTGGAAGCTGGCAGGCTCTCCGGTAGCCCCAGGCCCAGCCCTGTCCAGGCCGTCCATAGGGCCAGGTGCTCTAGGCCGCCATTCTCCCCCTGCGGCTTCCAGCTCTTGCTGCCACCCTCGCTCTGTGCAAGACCCTCCCCACACCCAAAACCATCACCCCACACCTGTGACCTTCACCGCACACCCATGACCTTCACACCCTGCAAGACCCACACCGTAGCTGTGACCCCACCTGTGCCTGACACCTTCACCCCACCATAACCCCCGCCCACCCGTGACCCCATCCTAATGGGCTGGGGACCCACACACTTTAAGATGCTGGGTGTGTAGGACCACAGCTGTCCCCTCCTCCGAGGTGCCAGTGCCTCCTTGGCTGGGTGGTCCCCTCGGGCCTTCCCTGCAGGTTGCCCGGGCAGGAAGGGCCCACCTGCCATGTGGTGGGAGCAGAGGTGGGGCCAGGCCGGGAGCCCCCACGCTGGGAGTCCTGGGCCAGGGCAGGGCTCCATCTCTTTCTTCTTTGCACAGTAAGCCCCGCCCACGCGCTGGCCGGTCCTGTGCCTCACCTGGTGATTTCTGGGAACACCCCCCGCAACCCTAGGGCCAGCCCCAGTGGGGCTCACGGGCTCATGGCAGAGGCTCTGTGGATGTTCCACATCGCAGAGCACGGAGCCTCCTTCTCACTTGCAGTCTCGATTCCCCAGTGGCACAGTAGGCCCCTGAAACCCCTGCTGAGCTTGGGAGCCTGGTGGCGGGGAGGGCACTGGCAGCCGCCGCCTCCCTATGGGAAAGGAGGGTGTGAGGTCAGTGAGCACCACCATGAGTGATGCTGCCTCCGAGGGACAGTGCCCAGACCGGCCATACGTCCTGGGAGCCATCCTGGCCTCTGCCCAGTACCAGCCCCACCCCTGCTACCCCTCAGTTCTTAGACCGGTTTCCTGCCCTTGCTGGGCCTCAGTTTCCTCACTTCCCCAATGGAAGGCTGCACACACGGTTTCCGTGCGCCCTGTCTCACCCCGTGGGATTCTGCCCATACCCGGCCAGAGGAGACCAACAGGCAGGCCAGGACCCACACACCCTCCCGAGTCAGAGCTCCGAGAGAGCCAGGAGCGGCCGCCACGCCCGGTGCCGCCTGTCCTGGGGGGACCCACACTGCGCGCGCGCCCACCTGTACTGGAAGGTCATGTTGGTGATCTTGATCTTGATCTCCTCGCCCAGCCTGCGCTCGCCGGTCATCTCGAAGAGCTTGCTGGCCATCTTCTCGTACACCTTGGCGTTGCGCTTGGTCTGCTTGAGCTCGTCGAAGAACTCCTCCCAGACCAGCATGAGGCCGCGCATCTCGGCGTCGGTCCAGTTGCGGGCCCGCCGGTGCTTCTCCGCCTGGGGAGACACCAGGTAGCCGGGCCCCTCGGCCGCCGCCATGCTCCAGGCGCCTGGGGGGTGAGAGAGCGGCTCAGCGAGGCCCCCGGCCCGGCCCCACGCACCATGGGCGGGAGGCGCCGCTCACGCTCGCTCGAAGGCAGCTCCACGCTCAAAATGGGGCCTACATCTGACAGGCAGGAATTTAGTTAAAAGCTTTTAAACGGGAAACGTCATTTTGATGTCACGTTTCCATAGCAACAGAGCAACTGCATAAGCTACAACAACAGAAACCTTTTAACTGAAAGCCCAGGAATCAGGGCCGCACTGACGGGCCATCAATATTGCAGCGAGCGGTCCAGGCCCAAACCCAGCGGCCCGGCTCCCAGCCCTGCCTCCCACCGCCGTCCAGGCAATGGGCCCCCAGTTCAGTGCCGTCCCGGCTCACGCAGGCCAAGAGGGGGACTTGGGTGGGACCAGGCAAGGAGAAAAGGGGCAAAAGGTGGGAGAAACAGAAAGGACAGGAGATGAGGAGGCTGAGTCCCCCAATGCTGGCCACTGGCCCTGGTGGGAGTCCTGGGCTGTGGGACCTTAACTCCCTCAGAAGGCCTCTGCCAGGCTGAAATGGGGCTGGGCCCCGGGACCCCTGGGTCTCCTGGTCCTGGGGTCCTAGGGCTGGGCCCTCGCAAGAACCCCACATCCCCACCCTTTGCTCCTTTTGCTTCTCTTGCTGCAGCACCCAGGCGCCCTGGGCCTCAGGTCTGTGGACACTGGAAGCCCAGATTGGTCAGAGCCAGGCCCTGCCCAGAGGTGCAGTCACAGGGTATACAGACACAGGCCTCTGGCACCGGCTGGCGAGGATAGCAGGGACGGCAAAGGTGAGCTCTGTTTGAGACACAGGAGGGAATCAGCCCAGCAAGCCAGGGGGAGGCCACAGGGCACTCCTGGGAAGAGCCATGGGCATGGCAGGGCACAGCCTGGGTACGCAGGGAGCAGATGGGCAGCCAGATTCCGCACGGCATGTGGAGATGGGGCTCGAGGCCCAGGCTGCGGAGCGGGCCCTGAGGACTGAGATGCCCCCAGGCTTCTAGGGGACCACAGCCTGCCGAGAGCCCCAGGTGCAGCAGAATAGGAGCGTGTGGCCTGGGGGTTCTGCTCAGAGAAGTGCCCGCCCAAAGGCATCAGCACCCAAAACGTAACACATGCAAGTCAGGCAGGGTTCTGTGGAGCCCACGGCACCTGTGCAGGATGCGCTGTGCTGGACGCGGTACCCAGGCTAAACGCCACTGTGGTCAGCAGAGGGACAGCAGGCATCCCCCTGCCCTCCTCAGGCCTGACCAACTGCAGGAGACTCTCAGGTGTGGGCTGCCGCAGGAAGGGCAGCTGAGCCTGGAGTGGGGAGGCATCTCAGCCTCTGCCGCTGCCCCTGCTGTCCTGTGAGGCATCTTGGAGGTGGAACTAAGGTTCTCAGGGGAAGGACAGGGCAGGGGCGTGGCGGGGGTGCCTGGCCCCACTGTGGGTGCCCAGCATGGGGAGGGTGACCTGGGGCTCCCTTTTGCCCACAGTCAGGATAGGAAAGTGTATGGGGAGGGCCCCAGGGATGTGTGAGGGACTCAGAGGGGTCTCTGCACCCCTACACCGGGTTCCTGGTCCAGGCCTGGCCCTACTATCAGCCCCGTGAGACTAGTCCAGCCCCTTCCATTTGGGCTCTGGAGACATCATCCCTACTGCCTGGCACGGGGCATGGGAGGGACCCACAAGGCCCCCTCTGCTAAGTTCAGCCCTCGGTGCTGGGGGCTGGCACAGAGAGCTCTGTGGAGGGCCTGCAGATGGAGTGACTAGAAGGCCCACCTCCTCTAGGAAGCCCTGGCTGCTCAGGAACAGGGTTCGGCCCTTTCCAGTGAGGTCGGAGACCTGTCCGAATGCCCTTTCTGTAGCCATGACTCCAAGGGCAGAGGTGGGGCTGGCTCCCAGCATCTCTTGGCATCTCCCGGCACAAGGGGTGCGCAGAAAGTCATGGGGTCCCAGCAGTGGGTTCAGGGTGCAGCTCTAGCGACTCAGCATGGACCTTAGTCATGTCTTCCCCCAGCCTGTTTCCTCACCTCTACAACAGGGGTAACAGGATCTGACTATCTCACCCAGCACGGTGCTGGCTAAGGGGGCACAGCCCTCCCAGAACCCTGCCCCCTACCCCCTTCCACAAATCCACTTGGAGCTGCTGGAGACAGCGTCAGGCCTACTGTCCTGGCTGAAGGGGGAGCTGCTGGCCAGTGGGCACCACCACCACTGCTGGGGGCCCCACCTGACGGCTCTAGAGGAAGCACCTATACCCCTGCCTGCCCGAGTTCCAGTGGGCACAGGGAGACAGAGCCCTGCCTGGCAGGGTGCCACCCCACACTCGCACCATCCTCCAGGCAGCATTTCCAGGGTAAAAGGCTCAACTCCAACCCTCTCTTCCTGGGCTCAGTGCACATGGGAGGCCCTGGACAGGGCAAGCTCTGCAGCCTTTCCTGAGGCAGAGCCCTCACACCGACCTCCAATGTGAGGACAAGAACTGGGCAGGCAGCGGATGGCAGCACCAGGCACCCAGCTACCCCTGCCTGGGAGGGTCCCTGCATCTATCCCCTACTGGGGAAAGGCTCGTACCTTGGCACAGCTGCATGGCCTGCCGGGACCCTTGGTCGCTGCGGGGTCTCCTAGGGCCAGGGGCTGGGCAACCAGCAGCACCTGAGGGAGAAGGGGCAGGTCAGGCCTCGGCAGCAGCTGTCCCTGGTGGAGACCAGGGACGTAGGCAGGGTCCTGCTGTGCTCAGGCTAGGAGCATGCCCCCTAGGCCTCTATCCCTTCTAAATAATGAGGCTGGGCCCAGCCAGACTCTCATCCCACTCAGCATTTCTGGGTGGCTTTTCTGCCCTGCCTGACAGGCCAGGAGGACACGGGGACTGACCAAGGGAGGGGGCAGCAGGGCTCCTAAACACAGAAGCCCAGAGAGGAGGTGGGCGTCCCACCGAGGGGCACCTTCCAGGAGCAGCAGTGGTGAGCACAGCCTGTGCAGATGGGTAGGGATTTGGCAGCCGAGGAGTTCAGGGCTTGGGTGAAGGCAGAGGACCACGTGGAGTCCTGGGCCCAAATCATGGGGGCCCCTGGGCAGGCTCAGGAGCCTGGACTTCCCCAGAGCAATTGGGGCCAGGAGGGGAAGGATGTGGCCGACACTGCTGCCACTGGGGCAGGGTGGAAGGTTGGGCAGGTGGGCTGTCTGGAGGGTACAGGGGCCAGGATCCACCTCAGGACCAGCCTGTCCGAGCAGTTTTGGGGCCAGCTGCCTGATGAAGTGCGGAGGGCGGGGGCCTGTGCACACAAGGGGAACCCAGACCTGCAATTTTAAGCCCTCTGCCTCCAGGGATGACCCGACCCTGACCTCACAGGTCCACGGGGCCCACCCAGGGCCCAGACACCCCCGACCAGTATACTTGGAGGCCTGGTGTGGGGTAGAGAAAGCCAGCCCCACCGGCAGGGCCTCCAGAGGACGTGGCTGCCAACAGGGCTGGGCCCTCTGGGCGGCTCAAGCCATGTGCCCAACAGGCAGCCAGGCCGCTGGGACTGCAGAACCTGGGGGACCCGCAAGGGATGCCCACATGGTTTCCCAAAAGAGGTCCTGGTGACGACACAAGGCCGGGCCCACCTCTGCCCACAGGCATTGTCACGGTGCCCACAGAGCAGACTCGTGGGCTCGCAGAGAACGCCTTTCCTTGGGCCCCACTGCAGGCTTCCCTGAGGGGTGCACCCCACACCCCCAGGAACGGGGCTTCCTCTGTCCTCGGCTGGCCGTGTCACATCACGTGGAGGCAAGGCCCCCTACCCAGTCCTTTCTGTGGCGGCTCCGCCGGGTACTCACCTCCCCCTGGCTACTTCCCTCATCTGACTCACAGTGCTCCACGCTCCACACAGGGGAAGCGACTTCCAGATCCTCTTTGGAACAAAGCCAGTAGCAGCCAAAACCAAATACCACCGCAGGCACAGAGCACAGCCCCGGCAAGGGGACAGGGTGTGCTCTCCGATGAGGAAGAGGAAGGCTGTGCTGAGGGCAGCTCTGCCGTGGCAGGGGGAGGGATCGCAAAGCCCACGCATGAGGGGTTCGCCACTGCTTCCCACTGGACCCCGGCCCCTTTTCTTTCTGAAATTACCAGCCATGCCAGGTGTGCTAGGTGTGCCAAGGGTCTGGCTGTCCACATCTGGACCAGGGAGAAGGGGGTGCTCCATTTCTCTGAAGTGACCAGAACTTTGGTAGCTCTGAAGGGAGAAGCCCCTGGGGCGCCCTGGAGCGGTGTCACCTATGAGACAGATTTAAGGAGCTCAAGTGGCATGCCCCGCCCCAAATGCTTTGAGCAACTGGGGGAATTTTTTACCCGGCTGGGCCTGTCCACCACATCCCTCTGGCAGACTGATCCCCATCCTGCTCAGAGAAAGGGGGTCCCTGCACGTGCCTAAGGACAGCAGGCAGCAGGAGCTGCCCCCTTGGCCAACAGGCCCCCGTCTCTCCTGGCGCGGACAGCAGAGCAGGGAAAGAATGGGTGGGCGACCCCTGCCCATTCGCCAGAACCAGACAGGACCTCAGCAAACAGTAACTAAATACCCTGCACCAGACGAAGCCACAGTTTTGTTCTTGCAGGTTTTCGTTCTGCATCCCAGGATGACTACACCACCGACCACCAAGGCTTCCCAGAGGCTGGGCCGAGCTTAGAAGCATCCCCGCTGGGCTGAGCAGAGCCTTCTTGGAGTAGGCGCTGGTTCAGACAGGAGAAACAAGCTAGAACAGACGGGGCAGGCCCTGCGGACACACAGCAGCCCAGGCCACACCAGAGGTGGGATGTGCCAGCTGCTTTGGGGGGTACCTGGGAGCAGCTGGGTCAGGGACACAGGTTTCAATGGCCAAGGAGCTAGAAGGGTCATGGGCCCTGTGAGAACACAGCTCTAGTCTGCTGGGCCTGATGACCTGCTCCAGTGCCATGGGCCAAGTCCTGAGGCTTGTGTGTGTCATATAAGCTTATGATGTCACTTGACCATGAAGGATCCAGCAGCTCCCACAGCTCCCATCTGCAGTGCAGGAAGACCACCTGTACTGTGGTTTGCGAAGGCCCTTGAAGCAGCACCCAGCCAGGCCCCTGGGGCCACTTCCTCATCCCTGGCTACAGAAAACACAGGGCTTGTCCTTGCTGGCAGCTGCCTGCGGGACCCTCCGTAATGTCAGATGTTAGCTGGTGGGACAGTTTCTGCCCCTGCTGGATAA